CTATTTGAAATAATAAATTTCCGTTTAATAAGTAATATTGCGATAACGATTAATATTGCGATAACGATAAATAAAAAATTAAAAATATTTTTTTTTATATAAAATCTTATATTAAAATTTATATTACGGTTAATTAACGGTTAATTAACGGTTAATTAACGGTTAATTAACCGGTTAATTAACCAAATCTTAATTAACCGTTAATTTCCCATCCCTAGTCACGAGACATAAATTAATGCGATTAAAATTTATTTATTGACTTGTATTCCTCCTTTCAGATAATTCTTACTCACTCAGACAAACAGTATAAACACGGTTTAGAAGTTGGTGTTGTTACTAATTCTTCTACTTCAAATAGTCAAAGTATTTTTATAAATCATTTAATAATTTAATAAGATATATCAGTTTATTGTTCGAGCTCTCTATTTAAGACATTCATATTCCTCATTAATATTGCTATCATCGTTTGATCGAAACGATGCCTCCCTTTGAGATTCAATAATTCTTGCTCACTTAGAAGAACAGTATCAATCTGGTTTTGCAGTTTGAGTTGTTACAAATATTTGTTCACTCAAAGGAATATTATCAAAGCTGATTCAGCAGTTTGAGTTGATGCAATTTACGACATATGGGTTGATTGTTAGGAAAATCAGGTTCCGGAAATTTTTAACAAAATTGAGATTTTTATTGCATTTTAGGTTTTTGATGTTATTAGATTAAAATGCAAAATGCTCTTAATTTTAGTCAAAAATTTCTCAGAACCTGATTTTCCTAACAATCAACCCATATGATGTTGATTTATCTTCCTCATTAATATTGTTTTCATCGCTTTGGTCGAAACTATTATAGCCAACTTTAACCATCAAATCGAATATGATTTTAATGTTTAATTCTTCATAAAAAAAGGTAAATATTAATATTCGGATAAGAACCATGATTTCGGTCACGAAGATTAATGCGATAACACCATACCTTTTGAGATTTGGATGAATTAGTAACACATAAAATAAGTCTGAGCGTAAGTTTATAAAAATTTTTACATATACATGTTTTGACTTCATTCGGAGAATTCTCCCAAAGAAAGGTATTAAAGAATTCTGAATTGGGAACACTTTATAAGCATGATCTTTTGAAATTAAATTATGCAAAATTTTTGTGTAAACATTAACTAAAAATGTAGTAGATTTGCCGTAATTAAAAAAACGTTTGACATGCTGAATATATTTTTTATTTCATTTACAATTTATATAGATGATTGTAATTTACAACTTGAATCCATTCGAAATAATCTCTCATTTTAACTAAATTTCAAAACAACTTTATTATAATTCTCTATTTGTACTTGGATCTCTTTAAATAAAAATTACATTAACCTTATTTATAGTTAATCATAACCTATAAAATTATGGTCTATAATAATACAACATAAATATTATACATTTTATACTGTACATACCTTTTATTTTCTCCAGTACTGAGCCCATTTATGTATGGTTTCAATAACTTGTGGAAACATTGCATTAACTGATTCGTTAATTAAATTTTGGAAATATTTAATGGCTTCTTCTTCTGATAGATCTAATCTAAATTTCTCTTGAACCTAAATAGTTTAAGACAAGTTGATTTTTAATAATGTAATTCAAAACAAAAACATGCCAACATGATTCCTTAATAATTAATTACCTTCCAGACAGCCTTATCAGGTTCAATTTTAATATCAGGTACATTTGCGTCAACCATTAAAGCAAATAAATTAAGAATCAAATTTGCATTTTTCCTCAAGATGTTAAAAGCAATATAGCAATAACTTTTGAATCGTTGATAATGAATGGAATTCGCTCCTCCCATCGCTTCAACCATTTCTTTACAAAGTTTCATTGGTGGTGGAAAAGGCTTAGGATCTCTTCCCAAAATAAATCCAAAATCAACATGGAATAATTTACCTATCGTTTCAAAATAAAAAAAGAAAAAACTTGTCAAACAAGAAAAGTCTATACCAAATTTAGCAAAACTTTTAATTCGGCCTACCATCAGGTGTAAGTAACAAATTATCCAAATGTCGGTCGCCTACTCCCAATAAATATGTAATAACACAATATCCAGCTACGACGAAATAAATAAAATATTAGAAACAAAAGAAATTAACAGCTATTTTTAAAATATTCACGTATACATACCACAACTCTTAACATAAGTATCCATAACTGCAGGACTAATTCCATATGTTGCCTTTTCCTCTGGATGATGAGCTTTAAAGAACATCAAAAGGCTGCCATTATATTCGCTTAATACATTGGCTAATGAAAATGATGGGATGAATTGCATTAAACCATGATCTGAACCAGTGGCGAGGACTTTGTATGGAGTCAACTTTAGATCTAAATTCTCCTTTCGTAAAAGCTTATCCATGAGTGTGATAATTTGAATGACAAGTTGATCCTGACGAAGGTCATCTCCGGTTTTGAAAATTACCTAAAAAGAAGTTAATTATACAATATCCTAATCAATAAAGATTGATCAAATTAAACTATATTTGCTTACGGGATACTCGTCACCATCGACTAAAGAGAATGTCAACCGTAATGGAAACAAGTTACTTTTGAAAACCGTTGCTAATTCTAATGATATACCCAATAATACATTTAGAAACAAATTCGTTTATTTAAATGAAATGGTTTTGTTTCACTTTACCTGGAATAATTCCAGTCACGTGGATGCGTGCGTCAAGAGGCAAAGGTAAAGGGGAAAATTGCAAAAGTCCATATTTAGGATCCGATATTAAAGCTCTCAATCTATCAATCTGTAAGAAGATAATTCAATTTAAACAACATTATACTCGAGAAAAAAACTAGTACTAAAATTTTAATTAACTACCTTTTTTGGCCTTATGTCTTTCATAGTACGAATTTCTTTGGAAATAGACGATAATATAGCAACTAGTTCTCCTTGTCTACGAAGTATATCTCTTCGTTGAAATCCATTAGGGATCTATAAAAAAGTATTAAAAAAGTAATTGAAAAATAAAAAGGAAAACATATTAAAATACTTTACCTCCGTTATGGCTATCATAAATTGATAAGCAACTTTAGCATACATTTTACCAACAACTTTATCTTCACATTCAACCATAAGGTACCTAATCTTGAAACAAAATTAAATCCTTTTCTCCCCTTCACGAAACATAATGTACATATAAAAAAATAGAATCACTTACCAATGAAAATTATTTCCAAGTATTGGGTTCTTAACAGCTCTTTCAATTAAAAACTCTGCTAAACTTGATTCATATGATGAGCTGGACTTTTCACTTATGTTTTCAAATTTCAGGGCTTGTACAAGTTGCAATAGATACAATAATAATTCCTAAAACGAAAGTTATGGATTAAAAATATATATATATATATTTTTTTTTTTCAAAAATGATCAACTTACATCGTCATCGGCCTTCTTCAATTGACTGACAGCATATCTACGAACTGCTCGATTCTCAAAATTCGCTCCCAACAATTCAAGAGCATCATCTAAATCAATGTCAACCCATTTGAACAACAATTCAACAGCCTGCTTAGCTTCCGTTGGATCTGTCCACACTACACATTTCAAAAATTTTGTAAGTGCCTACAAAAAAAAAAAAAAAAGATGAAATATATGAATTATTGATAAAAAGGACAACTAAAAAAAAGAGAGAGAGAGAGACAAAAAAGAATAATTATATAAATAAAAAATACCTTCTTTTCACGAGTAAGATAAAATCTATACTTCCAAATATTATCCTTTTCTTCTTCTGTCAAAGGTTGAGTAGGAGGATATTTCAAAATTTCCTTTTAAAAAAAAAATATATATATATATAAATGTATACATATTTTGACGTTAATGATAAACTAATTTTTTATTTACTTACATTAAGCTCATCACGTAACTTGGCATTCGGTTTTAAGTCTCGATCAAGTGATCCATTTCGATGACTTCTCACTAAACGCCTATGCTTTGCTTCAACTGGATTTTCCCCAGTAATTTCGGGATCCATGATCAATACCAGGTTTGACTCAGACGATGATGATAACGGTGTAGGTTGTGTTTGCCCATTCACTGGGGTCATTGAAACTACTGGTAACGAATATTCCTACGAAAAAAAAAAAAATTAAACCCAAATTCTTTTTAGAAAATAATATTGCTAAAAAAGATTAAATACTAAATACCGGTTCGCTGAATACTAGTGGAAAATCGAACTTTGGTAGATATATATATAAGTACAATTTCTTTGACTTTGAAGATTCTGCCTAAATAAATGAATATTTGAATATTAAATAACATAGTAAAATAAAAATAAATCAATCTAAAATTTTACCTCGTGAATTTTCTCAAGTTGTCGGAATGCAAGGTGATCTAACCATTCAAGCCTGGGCATTTCTTTTCTCTCATATCTTTTAACAAGCTACACGGTTCAAAAATAGCAGAAAATAAGTATAAAAAAGTAATTATGAATAAAAAATGAACATTCTAACTCACCTTCTCTAACCGATCCATTTCATCCTCTTCACCAACCTTACTTGGTGTAGTTGTATGATCACGACCATCAGCTTCAACGTCAGGCCAAAGAAACAACTTGTGTTTTCCTTTTCTCAGTGTGCTATTTACAAAACAACGAAACTAAAATATTTAAAATATTTTAATTTGTAATATGGTTAATCAAAAATGATATCTCACTTGTGTTTTCCAAAAAGTCGAAATGTAGTCCCACCTATAGGAACAACTTTACGTGGTCCATAAATGTCCCATACTGTGAAGGCGAGTTGGGCAGTTGCAGGTAAATCACGAAATTTTACAGGAATTGTGAGCCATTCATTCCAACTATCTTTCAATAAAAAAATGTTAATAATTATCAGAAATAATAAAATAGTACGATTGACCTTATGAATTAAATACCAACAGCCAATGATTCTTGAACGTTTTATATGAAGTTCGGATGGGTATAGTCAATGGTTTATTATCAGCATATAATTGACAAGTTACATATAATTCGGAATAATCGCTAGGAAGCAAGAAAAAATAAGCATTTTAAATCACCTGAAAGTCTTCAAATTGAACATTTATTAGAAATAATTTACCTACCTAGTTTGCAAACCAGTAAATTTTAGGGAAGGTTCTTCGAGTAATGTAGTGAATTGTTTTTTTTCTCGAGTTCCTTCAAGAGCTGAGCTGTAATTGGCAAGGAATGTTCAACATTGATCAATTGTTATAAAACCAATGCATTTTGACTTACATTCGGACTCTTAATGGAAAATTCAAATCTTTGGTTAAACAGAATGAATATGAAAAATCTTTAGATTGAGCAGATTCGTAATCCATTCTAACATTATAGTTTTTTGTTGAAGAGATTTTGGATCAAAAATATTTTTAGGCAAAATTTATATGTGGGAGTTTCGTTCTCACGTGATCAACCTATGACCAAAGTATTTATTTATTTGTATCAAATTTCTAAAACAAAAAAAAACCGGCACTTATCAATCAACATGATTCGGTTTCTTTGCCAAAAACGCTCGAGTTCAAACTTCCTTTTACCCAAAATTACAAAGAACTTTTCATATTCCTTTATAAAACCAAATTACTGTATTCAAAAGCCATTCCATTCTCGTCATTGGCATATTTCTGACCGTATTTCAAAACAAACTAGTATTTTGAATTTTGAATTATGAAATAATAAATTAATTTTTTAAACCGTTTAAATTTCACGGAAAAATTTTAACACGTTCAATTTTACACGTGATATACAGACGCGAAGTTTGTTGGGACCAATTTTGTAACAAAAACGTTTATAAGTGCATCTACTTGGAATTATTGGTATGGTCCTGTCTATTGCGAAGGTTTCTAGTTTATTTATAAGAGTAGCTTTTTTTTTTTTAATTTAAGTCGACAATTTGATCGATCCAAATTTTATTCTTAAATCAACAATCAATATTATCGAATAGCCAATGCCGGGGGTATTGTATTTTGACATATTTGATTTAATTCATTCTTTACGATTCGAATTTAAAAGTTAATTCTTTAACGTTTTTACTAGATCAAACTGTTCTCATTAATAATATTGAACAGCAATCTGATCATGTCGTTCCACCTCCACCCAAGAGGAAATTAATTAGCAAAGGAGATATAACATTTGGTTCAATCTTGGGATTTTGTACTGGTTTCCTATTCAAGAAAATTGGGAAAATGGTCGCAATAGCGGTTGGAATCGGTTTTGTTTTTCTACAGGTAAATCTTAACATTGGTAACCTTAATGTTTAGAATTTAGAACTAATATTTTCTTGTAGTATATGGCGTATCAAGGATTTGTTACTATACATTGGCAACGAATTAATAATGCCTTTACTCAAGAAATGGATGTTGATCAAGATGGTCATGTTACAGCTCGAGATACAAAATCCAAATTAAGAATTCTTATTGATTTGTTAACCGTAAAATTTCAATTCAAGAGTTGTTTCGTTAGTGGATTTTATTTAGGATTGAGATATGGTTAAAACGGAATATTCAGATTCGTTTATTTTAATGAAAAACAACAAATGTATTAAATTTTACATATAAAGATCGTTTCTAAAAAAAAAAAAAATAATAATAATCTCGTTAAATTAATGGGGAATTGAACTCGCAATTTTGTTTGAGCAACCCAAAGCGAAAATCATACTACTAGCATAATCCTTGTGAATCTTTCTATGTAGAATTTTTTTATTTAAAATTTTAGCGAAAATGGAAAGAAATCTGCTTAAAATCGAGTATTTTATCGATTGATAATGTTGCACAACAAAATAAAATGTTTTAAGGTTTTAGGGGAGAATTATGTGAAGGTTTTTGAAAAATCTTTACATAATCTTCTCCCCTAAACCCAACACATATCTCGAGGTATAGTCACTTATTCTAAAAAAATTTTTTTATATATATATATCGTTGTGGTGATGACTGCCCCATATATTAAGGCAATTATCAAAATGTTGTTACCCATTATATTAAAAAATATATAGGGCACTTTTTTTTTTTT